AAGATTTTTCGCTCACTTGAAACCAAAATACGAAAGAAAAATGTACAAATCTCCCATGTATTAAAAAAAGGGAATAAAATGAAAACACGATACAGAAAAGGAAGAGAGTGCGGGATCCAGTGAGAGATATAGAGGCGGGAAAGGTCTTTGGGAATGTATACACACGACGAAGGCAGGGAAAAGGAGGGAAGAGATCAGGAGAGATGTGTGGGCGATAAAAGACCCCGAGCTTAGTGCTTCAAGCGCTGTGATGGTATACCAAAGCTGAGATACTGGCGAGTGTCAGAATGGCGCCGACACTGTAGCGTGGTCGGGAGTCGGTGGCACCGACACTGTAGATTGGTCGGGAGTCGGTGGCACCGACACTGTAGATTGGTCGGGGGTCGGTGGCACCGACACTGTAGCGTGGTCGGGTGGCACTTACACTGTAGCATGGTCGGGAGTCGGTGGCACCGACACTGTAGCGTGGTCGGGGGTGGGTGGCACCTACACTGTAACATGGTCGGGAGTCGGTGGCGCGGCTGATGGCTGCCATGAAGGCCGCAGGAACAAAGAACACAAGTACAAAGGCCGCCAGGACACTACAGCCGTGACCCCCAGAATGCCCCTCAGAGTGAACCCCATAGACACTCCAGAAAACCAATGCCGATGCTCTGTTACAAAGTTATCTCGCTCCAGATGTTCTGCTAAGTTTTTTTTTTGTACAATCTTCTCCATCATCTTGCATGGTATGCAAGTTAAGGAAACTAGCCAGTAGTTCTGTGTATTCTGTCTATCGCCCTTCTTGCATATCGGGACTACATTACCCGTCTTCCACCCTCCCATTGTGTGTGTGTGTGTGTGTGTGTGTGTGTGTGTGTGTGTGTGTGTGTGTGTGTGTGTGTGTGTGTGTGTTTGTGTGTGTGTGTGTGTGTGTGTGTGTTTGTGTGTGTTTGTGTGTGTGTGTGTGTGTGTGTGTGTGTGTGTGTGTGTGTGTGTGTGTGTGTGTGTGTGTGTGTGTGTGTGTGTGTGTGTGTGTGTGTGTGTGTGTGTGTGTGTGTGTGTGTGTGTGTGTGTGTGTGTGTGTGTGTGTTTGTGTGTGTGTGTGAGTGCGTGTGCGTGCGTGCGTGCGTGCTTGAGTGTGTGTGTGTGTATTCGCCTAGTTCACCTAGTTGTGCTTGCGGGGGTTGATTGAGCTCTGCTCTTTCGGCCCGCCTTTCAACTGTCAATCAACTGTTTCTACTACTACAGTACTTTTTTCCCCACACCCCACACACACACCCCCAGGAAGCAGCCCGTGACAGCTGACTAACTCCCAGGTCCCTATTTACTGCTAGGTAACAGGGGCATAGGGTGAAAGAAACTGCCCATCGTTTCTCACCAGCGCCCGGGATCGAACCCAGGACCACAGGATCACGCGATCAGCGTGCTGTCCGCTCGGCTGGCCGGCTCCCAACCGATGAATGTGTGTGTGTGTGTGGGGGAAGGGGGGAATCCTAGCAGCTTTAATTCTTTTTAATTCTGTGAATATTCAAATACTTATTTATTTTTTTATTGACTTTAATATGATATTAATTTTATTTGATTATTTTTCTTAGTTAGTTCTTAGTAATAAGTTAGTTAGATAGTAGTAAGTAGACTGTATGTTCTGATTCAGCTGCTAAAACTTCTCACACAATGGGAGGGACAATTTGTAGCTTAAACCACTTTGAGGTGGCTCCTCCATAAACCACAAATTGTTTACCTAGTCTTTAATATATAAATTATAAATCATACCACATATGGTGGTCTAATCTATTATTATACCACAGTAAATTAAATTTATAACTACTAATACTATGTCTACAATATTGAACAAAAAGGGCCTTAGCTGTTCCTGTTGAAGGGCCCTGCTAAGGCTGTGTAATTGTAGCATCAAAATTGGGTGTGGCTCTGTGCCTTCGAGTGCCACGTAATGGCTGCTGTCTGGAGGCCTACAAAGCTTGATGTACAGCTAGTGGAAGCAATTTCTATAATTATATTGGGAGCCAGTTTCCTGCTTCACTAACTTCCCTCACAATTACCTGTTTGGGAGGTAAGGAATTAATAAAGATTCCCTAAACATATAATTACAGATATGACATGGAATATGTAGGTGTAGAGCTGAGTACGTACGTGTTAGGGATTTTCATCCCACAGTATTACCACCTACCTATTTATGGTATATAAAATGGCCAGAATATATACAAAATTCTTGGTAAGACGGATACTGGTGTTACTGTGGTTGTTGAGAGGCTGTTGTGCTGATTGCTCGCGTGTTAACACGTAGTCTGGGTGTCTAACGAGTTATACCAGCTCATATGGAGGAGCCCTCTATACAGCGTGTTGTTTGTTGTCATTCTGAGTATGTGACGACGCTCCAGGGGAGACGACCTCAAATGTTTGGTGGTTCTATTTATGTTTAAGCAATAGAGAGTTAAGCTATATATTCCTGGTGTTGGAAATTATATTCAGTCCTAGTGAACACTTTTTTATTAAGTATAAACACTAGACTGTTGTTTAAAAGAAATTAGATTAATATAAATACGTGACGTCGATGATGTCACGGAATCACCCATTCTCTTTTTCTTTATGTGGGTAACTCATGTTATTATGTGTGTCAGATTTCTGGCAGTGTGTGTGTGTGTGTGTGTGTGTGTGCGTGTACTCACCTAATTGTACTTACCTAATTGTGCTTACAGGGGTTGAGCTTTGTCTCTTTGGTCCCGCCTCTCAACTGTCAATCAACTGGTGTACAGATTCCTGAGCCTACTGGGCTCTATCATATCTACATATAAAACTGTGTATGGAGTCAGCCTCCACCACATCACTGCCTAATGCATTCCATTTATTAACTATTATGACACTGAAAAAATTCTTTTCAGAGGTACACCCCCCTGCAAGCGGTGCCTAAAAAGAACCGTCGGCAGGAGGCCCCAAAGCCGGGGCAGCACGACCACGCAGAACGGCAGCCTCAACGACGCGGGGCAGAAAGTCACCACCCACCAAGGAGACCGGATCCAGAGAAGGAACAGACACAGCAGACAGATGGGCAGACAGATGGGTAGACACCAGCACATGTGAAGGATCCAGCGAGTGCGTCGGATCCGGAAGAGGAGAAGAGGCACGTGTTAACGAGGAAACCACCAGAGGCGACAAGGCAGAGGGCGGGGGCGGAGCCACACACACCACCCCGACAGCCCCGGGAAGCACACATAATTCAGCAAGAGATGCAGGCACCACCCCTACAGCACCATCCAACGCCACCACGGAAGCAACCGGAGTCGAATGCACCTCCGCATACACCGAACGTCGAAGGCGCGAATCAGGGGCCCCTAGGTCCGCAGAGCTTACCGGTACGGCAGACAGATCAGGGCCAGACGGAGCGACAACCGTAACCGCCGCAGGAACCACACCAGGCACCTCCACAGAGCGAGGATCCACGGGGGAATCCCCACTCACAGACAAGCGGGGAATATCACCCTCCAGGAATAATGAAGGGGCCTCAGCATGAGGAGCGTCGCATCCGGCTGTCACGTGGCCCTCAGCACGCACAAACAGGTGCGTGTTTGACCCTGATAAAAGATCTGCAGAGAGAGCCGCCTGGGGCATCCTGGAGAGTGATGTCAGGATGCCCCAGGCAGCAAGATGCCGGTTTCCTGGTCCTCCTCAAACTAGCCAATCAGAGAAAAGCACACCTCGGCCTGTACTTCCTTGGCCAATCACAGTCCACTTGCTTGGCGTGCAAGGTGGCATCCCCCAGACTGCTGCCTGGGTTATCATGGGAACGGCAGCGGGCTGGCTGGCAGCTCACGCCTCCCTGCTTCTATCTCCTTCACTCCTACAGTTATAACTGCTACTCGCTCTAACCCTTTCCACAAATGCGCTACAACGGTCATTGTAACATATTTGGTATGCTGATGACTTAGGCTCTCCAACGAGCCTAACCACGGGATGTTTCGATTACGGGTTACCAAATCTATTCCGAGTGGACGGCCATTCACGTGCCCGGTGCACGGCGAGCCTCACACTAGAAGAAGGTGTAGCAGGTGTAAACCCATACCTTCACAACAGCATAAAAGACGACAACAACTGACCATTAACACACTGTCAGAGGAACCTGAACAAAAATCATTTTATGACGAGCTCTGTCCCCTCCTGTTTAACTCTTCCTGATGGCAAATTGAATAAGACCATAAACCTAAGAAAAATATTATATGAATGAAATATTTATGAGTCGCCTATTAGTTGTTATGCCTCATGAAGAAAAAAAAAATAATTTAAAAACCCAAAAACCAACTGAGAGTCGATCACAACTTCCATCAACATGACACACTGAAACATTCTCTGTGGGGATCACTAAACATGTCACACGCAGAGGGAAACAATGACTTTGCTAGTGTTTTTGATCTAGTTATGACTAACGTGACTACAGACGGAGACGATCACATCTGGCGATGCAGACTCACGCAATATTGATGAAACTTCTTAGCAAGATGCTCTAAATTTTTATGATAATTTTCCCTCCGTATATTCATACTTTAAACGTTGTAGAGTAATACTTGTACGGATTTTGTTTTCTAACAAAATCCGTAGAAGTATTACTCTACAACGTTTAAAGTATGAAGATACGGAGGGAAATTGCTATTAAAGTATCATAACTCTTTCCTCTTGTTAGGCTGAGCGACGTCTGCAAGACATTGACCAAGGTGTGAGTGTGGCATATGTGAACATGCAGGCGCACTTTGGCCGTAAAGGCAGCAGTGTTGCCGGAGAGAGAGAAAAAAAAAAGAGAACTTTGAGAAACGACCGTTCATAACATTCCGAAAATCAGTAGGCTCACAATTTCAAATATTTTTGTCTACGTTTTCTTTCTGAATGCTCCTTGTGAATAAATACAAATGTAATGCGATTTAAATATCTTTATGTACGCCGCTGTCGCCTCTCCTTCCCAGAAACGGCGGCGATGTCTTTACAACTGTATTTGTTAATACAATAGAATCTTACTTAACAGCTATTACAACTGAGTCTTCTTTAGCAGCTGCACCTTCTGTCACACCTGTGTCTTCTTTAGCAGCTGCACCTTCTGTCACACCTGTGTCTTCTTTAACAGCTGTACCTTCTGTCACACCTGTGTCTTCTTTAACAGCTGTACCTTCTGTCACACCTGTGTCTTCATTAACAGCTGCACCCTCTGTCACACCTGTGCCTTCATTAGCAGCTGCACCTTCTGTCACACCTGTGTCTTCATTAACAGCTGCACCTTCTGTCACACCTGTGTCTTCTTTAACAGCTTCACCTTCTGTCACACCTGTGTCTTCATTAACAGCTGCACCTTCTGACACACCTGTGTCTTCTTTAACAGCTGCACCTTCTGTCACACCTGTGTCTTCATTAACAGCTGCACCTTCTGTCACACCTGTGTCTTCATTAACAGCTGCACCTTCTGTCACACCTGTGTCTTCATTAGCAGCTGCACCTTCTGTCACACCTGTGTCTTCATTAACAGCTGCACCTTCTGTCACACCTGTGTCTTCATTAACTGCTGCACCTTCTGTCACACCTGTGTCTTCTTTAACAGCTGCACCTTCTGTCACACCTGTGTCTTCTTTAACAGCTGCACCTTCTGTCACACCTGTGTCTTCATTAACAGCTGCACCTTCTATCACACCTGTGTCTTCATTAACAGCTGCACCTTCTGTCACACCTGTGTCTTCATTAGCAGCTGCACCTTCTGTCACACCTGTGTCTTCATTAACAGCTGCACCTTCTGTCACACCTGTGTCTTCATTAACAGCTGCACCTTCTGTCACACCTGTGTCTTCATTAACAGCTGCACCTTCTGTCACACCTGTGTCTTCATTAGCAGCTGCACCTTCTGTCACACCTGTGTCTTCATTAACAGCTGCACCTTCTGTCACACCTATGTCTTCATTAACAGCTGCACCTTCTGTCACACCTGTGTCTTCATTAGCAGCTGCACCTTCTGTCACACCTGTGTCTTCATTAACAGCTGCACCTTCTGTCACACCTGTGTCTTCATTAACAGCTGCACCTTCTGTCACACCTGCACCTACTATTATTGCACATAACAGCTGTCCCTTCTTTATCCAGCCATCCTTTCCTTACTCAGCTGTCCCACCTTTATTCAGTTATCCCACCTTTACTTAGTTGTCCCACCTTTACTCAGCCGTCCCTTCTTTACTCAGCTGTCGGTCTTTTACAAAGCTGTCCGTCCTTTCCTCAGCTGTCCCTTCTTTACTGGGGTGGTGGAGGTGGGGCGCCATGTTCATGTGATGAAGGTATATGTATTCCGGAAGACCGGTATGGAAATGAATACCTAATTGAAACTCAGCGAATTTATTTGACAAGAGTAAACTCTGGCATCCTTCTGTGTCGTGTTCTTCTCTTCCTCCACTTCCTTCTTCTCTATCCCTTCCCCTCTTTCTCTTCTGCTCCTTCGACTCCTCGTCCTCCTTGCCCTCCACCCCGTTCATTCTTTCTTTCTTTGTTCCTCTCTAAAGTGCGTCTTATTCTCATTTTCTCAATTTTATTCTCAATTCCTTACATATTTTCCATCCCCACGACCTCTCTTTCTCTCTCTCTCTCTCTTTCTCTCTCTCTTTCTCTCTTTCTCTCTCTCTATCTATCTCTCTCTCTCTCTCTCTCTCTCTCTCTCTCTCTCTCTCTCTCTCTCTCTCTCTCTCTCTCTCTCTCTCTCTCTCTCTCTCTACCTCTCTCTCTCTCTCTCTATCTCTATCTCTACCTCTCTCTCTCTCTCTATCTCTATCTCTATCTCTATCTCTACCTCTCTCTCTCTCTCTCTCTCTCTCTCTCTCTCTCTCTCTCTCTCTCTCTCTCTCTCTCTCTCTCTCTCTCTCTCTCTATCTATCTCTATCTCTACCTCTCTCTCTCTCTCTCTCTCTCTATCTATCTATCTCTATCTCTACCTCTCTCTCTCTCTCTCTCTCTCTCTCTCTCTCTCTCTCTCTCTCTCTCTCTCTCTCTCCATCTCCCTGCCCACACACCCTTGGTCTCCCCTGGCTTGTTCAGCTGCATGGTTCCCACAGGACGGCCCTTCATCCACCCTCCCGCCAGACCACACACTTCCTCCTGTGTTTGCTGAACTCCACCTCCACAACCCGACCATTTTCACAACTACAAGTCTGCATCTACTTTCATTCCTCCCTTGCAATATCGAATTGAATGCTCTCGACCAAATTTTTATGGAACTTTGTAATGTGATATTGATGGCATTTATATAATTTTTGCTGGATCTAGGAGTAATAGAAACAGACGTGGCAGACTCCCTAATGTTTGAGGGACCAGGCGCCGTAACATGTGGATACTGGGGTGCTCGATCAATAGACATGCTTCAGTTAAATCTGACAATTCTACCAGCACGACGTCGCTCACATTGACAGCTCTCCAGGGACTGTTCCCGTGTATTGTTGGCTTCCTGAAGACCCACGGCATTTGTCTAAACCGAATTATATATATTATATATATATATATAATATATATATATTATGCAGTCTCCGTGGTGTAGTGGTAAGACACTCGCCTGGCGTTCCGCGAGCGCTATGTCATGGGTTCGTATCCTGGCCGGGGAGGATTTACTGGGCGCAAATCCTTAACTGTAGCCTCTGTTTAACGCAACAGTAAAATGTGTACTTGGATGAAAAAACGATTCTTCGCGGCAGGGGATCGTATTCCAGGGACCATAGGATTAAGGACTTGCCCGAAACGCTACGCGTACTAGTGGCTGTACAAGAATGTAACAACTCTTGTATATATCTCAAAAAAAAAAAATATTACAGAAAACACACACTTATATAACAAAATAACAATATGCCAATCAGTGTTCAAAGACCTCGTCCAGTTCCTCGGGGGTCGGGTGCGTACCCAAGATACAGCACGCATTTCCCCTTTGAACAGCGACACTGAGGCGCTGGAACATAAAACAGGCCGCTCTTGGGTCTCTAGTCTTCCCAATGAGTTCCTCGCCCAGCTCCTTCAGGAACTTAAGTGCACATTTACCCCAGGCGCCCAGTCTCAGAGCCTATTGGCACGAACCTGTAACAACGTTCTAGGTCCCTGTACTTGTTAGTTTTCTGGGTCTCCCTGAAGGTGGCCGCCCCGCCTCCCTCAGCTGTGCTGTAAGGTAGATAGGTATCAGCCAATGTGGATGCACACGTGTAGTCCCATACGACCTGTTTACCTTCCCTCCACGGCTGCAGGGTGACTCCATCAGGGCGTTTTTGGCTGTTGTCAGGCCTGCACAACTGAGGTTCCCTTTGTGCTGGACACCCAGCTGAAGCCAAACTTCTCTTGATGATGTCATTGACTGCTTCATGTCTGGCAATCTTTCCCTGTGTCTTACAACAGATGAGACCATGGCTGACGTATTATATATATATATATATATATATATATATATATATATATATATATATATATATATATATATATATATATATATATATATATATAGTATAGTATATTTTGGTAGCAGTCTTTCCTGTAGACATATATTATTAAATATGACCGAAAAAGTAAGATTAGTAATTCTAACGCGAATTTTCTCTATCTTTCTTATGTTTCTTTTCACTGTTGATGGTAATTCAAAGATCAATTCTCCAAAATTCATTTTTATTTCTAGTCTGATGCGACACTTGAGCGCGTTTCGTAAAACTTATTACATTTTCAAAGACTTTAGTTTACAAACACACAACTGAAACTGAATAGAGCTTTACACATCTTCGAGGTTTATATCTACATTTGGGTGAGGTGGATGAGGTGAAAAACGAACTTTCAACAATGGGTATTCAATGGGTATTAAATTCCAACAGAAGACAGAACACGAAACAATGGGTATTGAATGGGTATTAAATTCTAACACAAGACAGAACACGAAACAATGGGTATTGAATGGAAGTAATTGTAGAAAGCCTATTGGTCCATATTTCTTGATACTTCTATATTGGAGCGGAGTCTTGAAGTGGGTAGAATATAGTTGTGCATTAATTGGCTGTTGATTGCTGGTGTTGACTTCTTGATGTGTAGTGCCTCGCAGACGTCAAGCCGCCTGCTATCGCTGTATCTATCGATGATTTCTGTGTTGTTTACTAGGATTTCTCTGGCGATGGTTTGGTTGTGGGAAGAGATTATATGTTCCTTAATGGAGCCCTGTTGCTTATGCATCGTTAAACGTCTGGAAAGAGATATTGTTGTCTTGCCTATATACTGGGTTTTTTGAGGCTTACAGTCCCCAAGAGGACATTTGAAGTCATAGACGACGTTGGTCTCTTTTAAAGCGTTCTGCTTTGTGTCTGGAGAGTTTCTCATGAGTAGGCTGGCCGTTTTTATGGTTTTATAGTAAATCGTCAGTTGTATCTTCTGATACAACTGACACCTATTTTCACCTATTTTCAGTTTCAAATTACGACGTTTCATACCGAAAATATGCCAATTACTGTAAACGGCGATGGGTCATATTTTGCCCAAACCCCCCTGCAGTTTTTAAAATGTCTGAAATGTCGGAAATTTGACTCCTGAACGTGATTTTTTATCCGAATTCTGACTCTATGCACCTATTTTCAGTTTCAAATTACGACGTTTCATACCGAAAATATGCCAAGTGCTGAAAACGGCGATGGGTCATATTTTGCCCAAACCCCCCTGCAGTTTTTAAAATGTCTGAAATGTCGGAAATTTGACTCCTGAGCGTGATTTTTGAGCCGATTTCTGACTCTCTGCATCTATTTTCAGTTTCAAATTACGACGTTTCATACCGAAAATATGCCAATTACTGTAAACGGCGATGGGTCATATTTTGCCCAAACCCCCCTGCAGTTTTCAAAATGTCTGAAATGTCGGAAATTTGACTCCTGAGCGTGATTTTTGAGCCGAATTCTGACTCTCTGCACCTATTTTCAGTTTCAAATTACGACGTTTCATACCGAAAATATGCCAATTACTGTAAACGGCGATGAGTCATATTTTGCCCAAACCCCCCTGCAGTTTTCAAAATGTCTGAAATGTCGGAAATTTGACTCCTGAGCGTGATTTTTTATCCGAATTCTGACTCTCTCCACCTATTTTCAGTTTCAAATTACGACTTTTTATACCGAAAATATGCCAATTACTGAAAACGGCGATGGGTCATATTTTGCCCAAACCCCCCTGCAGTTTTCAAAATGTCTGAAATGTCGGAAATTTGACTCCTGAGCGTGATTTTTGAGGCGAATTCTGACTCTCTGCACTATTTTCAGTTTCAAATTACGACGTTTCATACCGAAAATATGCCAATTACAGAAAACGGCGATGGGTCATATTTTGCCCAAACCCCCCTGCAGTTTTTAAAATGTCTGAAATGTCGGAAATTTGACTCCTGAGCGTGATTTTTGAGCCAAATTCTGACTCTCTGCACCTATTATCAGTTTCAAATTACGACGTTTCATATCATTATGCGTTCAAAAGGAATTACCGGGAAAATAGGCAGATGGATCTACAATTTCCTGACTGACAGAACCCAATGTGTAATAGTCAACAAAATAAAATCCAGCCCATCAACCGTGAAGAGCTCAGTCCACCAGGGTACTGTGCTTGCTCCAGTACTTTTTCTCATCCTCATATCGGACATAGACCAGAACACAACCTATAGCACTGTATCATCCTTTGCAGATGACACTAGGATTTTCATGAGAGTTGGCAACATAGAGGACACGGCAAACCTCCAATCAGATGTTGATCAGGTCTTTCTATGGGCTACAGAAAATAATATGGTATTCAACGAGGATAAGTTTCAGCTCATGCGCTACGGAAAAATTGAAAACATAAAAACAGGAACCACGTACAAAACCCAGGCAAATCATAACATAGAACGAAAAGGCAATGTAAAGGACCTGGGTGTACTCATGTCGGAAGACCTTACCTTTAAAGAACACAATAAAGTAGCCGTCACAACTGCAAGAAAAATGACAGGTTGGATAACAAGAACTTTTCACACTAGAGATGCTATACCGATGATGATACTATTCAAAACGCTTGTGCTATCTAGAGTGGAGTACTGCTGCACAATGACAGCCCCTTTCAAAGCTGGAGAAATTGCTGACCTAGAGAGCGTGCAGAGATCCTTTACTGCTAGAATCCACTCAGTAAAACATCTAAATTACTGGGACCGACTAAAGAGCCTAAATCTGTACTCCCTTGAGCGCAGGCGGGAGAGATACATAATAATTTACACGTGGAAAATAATTGAGGGGCTGGTCCCAAACCTGCACTACCGAAAATATGCCAATTACTGAAAACGGCGATGGGTCATATTTTGCCCAAACCCCCCTGCAGTTTTCAAAATGTCTGAAATGTCGGAAATTTGACTCCTGAGCGTGATTTTTGAGCCGAATTCTGACTCTCTGCACCTATTTTCAGTTTCAAATTACGACTTTTTATACCGAAAATATGCCAATTACTGAAAACGGCGATGGGTCATATT